TAGTATTGATTCATTGAAGACTAAGCTTTGATAGGGATTCACTGAAGTTAGAATTTCATTGTTTGGATTGTTTTATGTGTCAACTTCACAAGAGGAGATCAACTTTCCCTAACGTTATTGTAAGCAATCTTATTGTATGATAGTGGAATGCTTAAGTTGCTGCTGAATGTTTACGTCTTTATGAAATCGGGCAGTTGGATAGCATGAAATTGATTGCAGTGAACATTTTTGCATTATTTATTGTGAGTGTTTTGAATTCCGTGTATATGCAGTTTTGATTTCTTATCGTTCGATTCGTCAGTATTTTGAATTATGAATTTTTGGTGTGTTGTGAAGAATGGATGGGTTGTGGCTGCTGTATATTTGTTGTATTTTTGTTGCTACGTTTCAGTGGTTTTCTGTCTGTTTCAGTTGCAGTCAAGAATATTGAAATTTAGTGTTTGTTGTTCTTCGATATCTGTGGTATGTGAATAAAGCAAGTTTTTTCTTATGTGATACCTCCATTCATACAGTTTAAGAGTGGTGTAATGAATGCATCCAGAAATATCTCATTCAGTTTTATTGCGGAGGCTGATAATAAGTTTCGTGCATGCATTGGGAAGGATCAATTAATGATAGATTCTTATGGGCATAAAAATCATACGGAAATCGCCGATGCGCTGTAGTTAATTTGTGCTGCATAGTTGGTGTAGAGATGGCTCTGGTAATGCAGCTTGTAAAGTAAAGGTTTTTTCTGATCTCTTGATCTCGTTAAAGCTTGAGATCAAGAGGCAATCACCACTTGAACATTAGCATTGTTGCGGAGTAATTTTCCTCAGACGTAAGGAAGGTTTTATTTGTGAGCGATTTGGATTTGTTGGTTTTGTCTGTGTAGAATTTTCAATGAATTTTTGCGATCATTTCAAGATGTCGGCTGATGAATTGGCGGTAAGATACGGGAAATTAGAGGCGTTCGAGATTGAGAAGAAGATTGGCAAAGGGCAATTCTCGGAAGTTTATCGAGCCAGATGCAAAGAGGATAACAATGTGGTAGCGCTGAAGAAAGTTCAAGTTGGTTGCTTATTTGCACATATGAAGAATTTGATATGATGAAGTCTGAAATCTGAAGCACCGAATATATCGCTTCGTTACTAATGGGAAAACTAGTCGATATTCGGTGAAATTCTTGAATGAGACTGGGTAAATGATGAGTTGAATCATTTGGCTGTTAATAGTGTTTTGAGAGGGATATCCTTTCGTTGTTTGCATGGTGGTAATCGCAACGAAAATTGTGAATATATTTGAAGGTATATGATATGGTAGATG